CTCCAATCAATTTACTGGAGAGGCTCAGAGAACTCAGAGAGACACTTCACTTACACGTACCCATTTATTACAAGGCTGTTCCTGAGCATGCACATGAGCAGCCAGATGGAGGGTACGGAGGAAGGGACTCAAAGGAACTTCCTCGAGGAACTTCCACATGTTCCACTCTCCAAAAGCTTCCAGAATTCAGTCATTTGGGGTTTTCTTTTTTTCTTTGTAGAGACAGAGTCTCACTTTGTCGCCTTTGATAGAGTGCCATGGCGTCACAGCTCACAGCAACCTCCAACTCCTGAGCTTAGGGGATTCTCTTGCCTCAGCCTCCCAAGTAGCTGGGACTACAAGCACCCACCACAATGCCTGGCTATTTTTTTGTTGCAGTTCGGCCGGGTCTTGGTTGGAACCTGCCACCCTCAGTATATGGGGCCAGGGCCCGACTCGCTGAGCCACAGGCACCGCCCTAGTTTGGGGTTTTCATGGAAACTTCATTTTATAGGCATGACTGATTAAATCACCAGCTATTGGTGGTCAATTCAACCTTCAGTCCCTGCCCTTGGGGGTGAGGCTGAAAGTCCCAACTCTCTAAGCAAGCCTTGGTCTTTCTAGTGACCCTCCCCAACCTGAAGCTACCTAGGGGCCCCCTGTCACCAGTCATCTTATTAGCATATAAAAGACACTCTTACCACTCTTGGAGATTCTTAGGGTTTTAGAAGCTGTGCACTAGAATACAGGATGCAGACCAAATATATATTTCACAATAATCACACAAAGCAAAATTAAATTTTTTCTATTTCAGACCCTAATATTGCTACTCAGTGGTAAACTGACTTTGTAGCTAGTAAAAAAGAATTTCTAACAAATCATCAGAAAATAAAACTGTCTATAAAGAAACCTGAATTTGGATGAGCACCAAAAATCACAGAGCATTTAGATTCGAGATGTCAAAACTCCCTGTCTGCCCTGGCCTGTCTCGGTTTATGCCCATGATCCTGACATCACTACTAGATGTAGCTGTTTCTACTCTCAAAAATGACATAGTTTGGACAACTGGTTACATGACATTCTTTGACAGAGAAGAATTAAGGTTTTCACACACATTAGCATATGCAAAGGTACTTTACACAACCGGCTTTTAAACTTAACCAATTTTGAAAGAGTTAATAAACATTTTCCCTTTCCCAGCTGTAAAGTTACAAGGATTGATCAACCCTGAACATCTATGAAATTTCTTCAGACATAAATGTGGAGCTTGGCTTAGCAACCTATATTTGGGATCCCCCCCCACCTCTATCCCAATCTAAGGATCCGTGAGAATGGTACAGTGATTCAGCATTTCTAAGGCATTCATGAAAATGTGCTTCAGTGCAATGAAACCAGGGAGGAAACAAGGGACATAACACACAGATATCAAAATCAAAACTTTTTATAACAGCAAAAATGACGGAATTCTAGGCTTTAATACTGAAACATTTGTAGAGCAGCAGAAAGGACAAGCGTGTCTCTCATCACTGTTATTAGCCAAGTCATTCTAAGATACAGCAGAAAGCACACGGAACACTTTTTTGTCCACTAGTTCAGGAAATGCTCAAAAACAGAAGTAAAAGGGAAATCACAAAACACAAAGGGGAACTGCATTCAGCAAACAAGAACAACACTGTTTATACCTGCACAGTGTACAAACACTGTACTTCTTAGAATTTAGCATATCACACTGCACTTCTTAGAATCTAGCATATCTCATTTGGGGGTCTCCTGGAGGACAGACTATGTCTTTGCCACTCTTTTTTTTTTTTTTTGGCCGGGGCTGGATTTGAACCCGCCACCTCCAGCATATGGAGCTGGCGCCCTACCCTTTTGAGCCACAAGCACTGCCCCTCTTTGCCACTCTTATGACCTATCTCCCAATCCTTAGTACCTGTTTTGCACATGAAAAATGTGCAAAAATGCTCATTGAATCAGACAACTAAGAAAAGAAAAAGGCTTTCAAATATAATTTCTGTGTAAACATTCCTTTCAAAGTACAGTATAAAAGAAACCCAACCACCATGAGGGGGTGGGAGTGGTGAGGTTGAATAGTTCCAAGAGCAAGGAGGTGTTTATAGTGAGAAATCTATTCCTCTAGGTAAGGTGTGAAAAGGTTTAACAAACCTTATTGTCACAGAAGGTCAGACACAGAAAGTCGAACCCTGTCCCACCAAACAAAACCCACTTAAGGTTAGCCTGTCAAGCATTCGTTATAGCCCCTATATCCAAGTTATAAAGAAGTTCCGCTGAAATTTGTTTCAAGTCTCAGCAGAGGAGAGTTTGAACATTCTTTAAAACAGGCATTGAGGCAGTCTGTTGTCCTCCTTCTGCACCCTAAGCACAGGCACTGGAGTTTGAGGACAAAACCACTTAACCATAGAAGGTTTCATTCATAAAGAAAGCTACAAAAGGGACTTGGATTTCTATACATTTTATCAAAAGGGACTTGGATTTCTCTTCCTTAAAGACAGCATTCACTCCTCCTATCTCTAAGATAAATGGATAGACATGATCTAGTTGTCTGCCCACTAAGCTACCTAGGACCTTACAGTGGAAAAGTCTGCCAGAGAACAGAGAGCCATATATCTCAGCTAGGGTGCACAGCAGCCACTACATAATCATGTGAAACAAAGTTAACTTCTTTCTGGGAGGCCGAGGGGGTGGACTACCTGAGGCCACAGGTTCGAGACCAACCTGAGCAAGAGCAAGACTCCATCTCTAAAAATAGCCAGGCACTGTGGTGGGCACCTGTAATCCCAGCTACTCAGGAGGCTGAGGCAAGAGAATCGTTTGAGCCCAAGAGTTTGAGGTTGTTGTGAGCTATAACATCAGGGCACTCTACTGAGGGCAATAAACTGAGACTCTTGTCTCAAAAAAAAAAAGAAGTTAACTTCTCTATTAATGTTCAGTATAAAGGAAGAATTTCCTCAGAAATCTAACTATAAAAATAGTAAAAAAGTCAGGGCGTGGTGGCTCACGCCTGTAATCCTAGCACTCTGGGAGGCCAAGGCAGGCAGATAGCTTCAGCTCACGGGTTTGAGATCAGGATAAGCAAAAAGCGAGATCCCATCTCTGGGAAAACTGTTCCCAAAACTGGAAAAACTGAGGCAAGAGGATCACTAGAGCCCAAGAGTTGAAGGTTTCTATGAGCTATGATGCCACGGCACTCTACACAGAACGATAACTTGAGATTCTGTCTCACAAAAAAAAAAAAAAAGTAAAAAATATTCAGGCCTCCTGGATTTTATATTAGCTGGTTTACAACTTTAGGAAAGCCACCCACAAGCCTTAAATTTCAACTCTGTTTTACAAATGTGGATAGAGTTACCACTTACCTATATTTTAGAAAACTAACAAAAACAATGATGTAAGCCATGGATACTTTCTTAAATTCTAGATCTCTGAATAGCTACTGCCCTTCTAAACTAAACAGGTATAGTTCAAAATGAAGTTTTTTTTGTTTTTGTTTTTGCAGTTTTTTGGCTGGTGCCAGGCTTGAACCTGCCACCCCTGGTATATGGGGCCAGTGTCCTATTCCTTTAGCCACAGGCACTGCCCCCAAAATGAAGTATTTAATATACAGACTCTATATTCTGCTGCTGCTGAAGAACAGAGGTACTGATAATTCATCGTGCAAATGTGCTTGGATCCAGAACATTATTAATTCAAATAAGGGAAAAAATATCTCTTAAACTTTTTGGATATTAAACACATTTGTTTTCCACTGAATACCTTTTTAAAAAATCAGTGCCACAGTGATCAGTACATGCAGATTGAATCTATTTTTAATTAATTTTGTTCTAAATCTGACCCATCAATCTTGCGATCTTCCTTGGTCATTGTTCACGCACTTAGAGAATGCTTGTTTCTCCTTCTGATTGGGAAGATAATTATTCTTGTTTTATAATATTAGTAAAATACTTAAAAGAAGAAATTAAAAAGTCACTGCCACAGAGCAATACCCTCAAAAAAATAAAAATAAAAAATAAAAATCAGCGCCACTTTCTGAACTAAACTGAAAGTAAAACAATTGCTCCCAAACAATGCAGAGAAAGTCTTGAAGGATTATGTCAACCCAAACTGGTCTTCACATTATGCAAATAACTTGTTTCCATAATCTTTTAAAATGTCAAATTGTTTACCTACTGAAAATAAAGTGGACAAAAAGTTTTTTCCTACTCACCAGTTAAAGAACGCAAAAGGTTTAAATTTAAAAGTGGAATGTCTAAGTGGAAAGACTAATAAGGAACCTGAACCTAAAAAGCACCTTATAGCAATCTTGTGTGTGCAGATTGAAAGCAATTTTTTATATCATGGAAAGGGGAACTCTGCACCCTTACATAAAGCCTCACAGAAACCAGTCAGGACCATAAACACATTCACTTACCTATTATACAATATTGTGCCCAATGCTCCTGAAAGGTATATAGACCCAATTTCAGCTGTTAAGCTTATAAAGGCATCAGAAAAATCCACTTCTGGCTCGGTGCCTGTAGCTCAGCAGATAGGGCGCCAGCCACATACACTGAGGCTGGAGGGTTCAAACCCAGCCCAAGCCTGCCAACAACAATGGCAACTACAACAACAACAAAAAAATAGCCCAGCATTGTGGCGGGCGCCTGTAGTCCCAGCTACTTGGGAGGCTGAGCCAAGAGAATCGCTTAAACCCAAGAGTTTGAGGTTGCTGTGAGCTGTGATGTCACAGCACTCTATCGCCCTAGTGAGACTATCTCCAAAAAAAAAAAAGAAAGAAAGAAAGAAAATTCCACTTCCCATTTAGTCACAGCAAAGAGACAAACAGCAATCCTATCCCAATAGATACCAAGTTAATTCCCTACAGTTTCTCCCCTTTCATAATATTAAGTGATTTCTTAATAAAATGCTGCAGTAAATATTGTGAAATCAAATTCTGGCAGAAAATCAAATCAAAGGAAAACTGTTCCTGGCAGCGACTTTCACGTAGTCAGCCTCCTGCCTACCTTGTTATGTTTTTGCTGGTGTCTTGCCTTTGTGTCAAGAACATGATAGGGGCTTTCCGAATCTTGGTTGATGTAATACACGAGTCTTGAAGGCAGTGTAATTTCTTTCTGCATTACATTGCTGTGACTGCTATTCTGTTGCAATGTATTGTCTTCAACTGCCAGGACTCCCAAATTTTTTTCTGCAGTTTCATTCCAAAGTGGAGCTGGGGGAGCAGGAAGCACAAACATATACAAACACACATATATATGTACCCATAAATACATAAGCACTAAAACTCATTTCTCCATTAATTGCAAACATAGAGTTCTCTCTTTATAAGCAGGTAAGAGGTACAAAAACAGTGAAGCAAGTTGTTTCAATACTGTAATGGCCTGGATAGGTTAATAGCCAGGAAGACTTATATAGTAATGTACTTTTGATTTGATTTATTCTTGATATATACACTTTCTAATCAATCTTAAATCTATACTTCAAAGTTTGGGGGGAGGGCATTAAATGAACTCACTCAGAGGTCCCAATTCTCACCTCCATCCCAGTTCAACCCTACTCTTCCTAACAGTATCCCATGTGAGAGCTAAGCAAACTCCTAAGAAAACTTGAGGGCTGAATTCATAGACACGGAATGTTAATTGATTCTTTTAACAAAATGGACAACTCGTGTCTCTTTTAACTTTAAACTGAGCAAAAACCCTTTGCCACATTGAGATACAGACGCTGGCAGCTTTCCAATTTCTTTTTATTTTCCTACCAAAGCCAGCTTTCTGCTTTCACTGATTGCCAATCATCAATATATTAAACATTACTTTAATTGTTCGTTATAATAAGAACCACTTCGAAAAATCACAACCAAAGGTTGTACACGAAGTTGTCTTCCACACCTTAATTCTTTGGTCTCCAAAGTATGCCTCCCCCACCTTCATCCCAACAGCAGTGAATATGCCCGGTAGGAAATTCGAGGAAACGACCCATTGCCACTATTATTGCATCCTCCCTGCATCCACACTAAGGCTCCCCACGCAAAAAGCAACTTGCTCCTTCACTGCATTTCCCATCCACTGGTTTCCCCTCCGCAAGTTGCATAGAGATCGCTGAGGGATCCACCATCCACTAAATACTTCCCAGTGGGTTTTTAGCGAATGCAAAACAGAAATGGACTTCCAAAAGTGAACTAGAATGAATGGGGGGCTGGAAAAAGAGAAGGGTGGAGAGGCAGGCTGGGAGGGCAAAAAGGCCGAGCCGGGGGGACACGTCCGGAGCGCACGGACCCGCATGCCCTTCGCTTTCCTCCGCAGGGCCCAGCGGGGAGGCAAGCAAAGAGCATGGGGCCATACCCACCGCTGGGC